ATTTAGCCTAAGAGACTGTGTCCAGCTTCCAGATAAGTTCCCTGAAGCTATAGCCAGATATTGACTGTATATTTCAGGTTAGTTTGACCCTAGAGAAGTAGTTCTAAACAGTGCCCTTTGACAGGAAAATACACCTCTTTCGCTTCTGGGAAACTTGTATTACTTGTGAGGCACATGGGTTTCAAAAAGCAGAACCAAACCAAGATGCTGTTGAAGTGATGTGAGAAATACATTGAAGAGCTCCTTCAAAAAGACCCTATTGAAAGCGTTCGAAGCCAAGAGCTGAATGCGGCTATCTGCAAATAATAATCCAGGAAAACAATGCTCTCTGAAGATGATGGGAATTGTTTAATTCTCTAGTGTTGGTGGACCGTTTTCCGCTCTTTTTTCTCTTCCCCCATTATTTTGGTGGGTCGATGCGTTCCTTCCCGACTTCCAGATGCTGTGAAGGGGTGTGCAGGAACCTGTGAGGAAGAGTTTTCCGTTCTTATTTTCCTTGCACTATTAGTCTAATTAGGCTGCAGTCACTAATTGGATCAGTAGCCTGGAGAAAACTTTAAATTCATTCCCCAAACTAGTTACACAAAGTACACATTTTTTTCCCCATCCTTCTCAGTGCTGATGGCTCTTCAGGCACGTTTCTTCCCCAAGGACCCTAGCTGTGCCTTAATATTTTCTTCATCTTCGGTTTTCCCATTGTTTCCAAAAAGTCCATAGATTTACAGTCCTTCCCCCTAAGAGGAATATCAGGGTCCTGTTAAGGTCTGGCATCTCTCCTCCTTCTCCCTCCCACATCCTCTCCCCTCATTTTATAATTTTGAGACACACAAAATTTAAAGGAAGTCTCCTTTGGCTGCAGCAATGATCGATGCTAGCAGGAAGCAGGTCCCAAAATGATAGAAATGACAAGATACAAGCAAGCTGTCATCTTTTTTAATCCTACTGCTGTTTGTTTGGTTTGGCCGTCACCCAAGTAATGTGAGTTCTTCAGGGGAAGGGGTCAGTATAAACAACTGCCAGCTCTCCTGTCCCTTTTGGCCTTCATCTCACCATAGTATAATTATTTTCAATCCCTTCTTCCTTCCTTTGAGTCTCCTGCTTCTCTTTTCCCTTGTTGGACCCCTTGTATACACTGTTTTGGCTTTTTTTCCCGGTTCTGTAGCCCCTTGTGCAGGGCATGTTGGAGGTGTCTGAAACCCCTGCTCGGTGGTGGAGCAGGTTTTGGTGAGCTTCCAGGAGCAGTCATGGTGGTGAGGGTAAACACAAGTAAATGCTCCTACCTGGTTCTCTCTTGGGCAAAAGAAAAAAACGTCGCACTCTCGTCCGTCTGTCAATGAAATGGCTTCAGGCGCTTAAAACTTACCCCCACGCGCAGTGGAAGGTCTAGCTTACTTTCGCGCTGCGCTTCCTTGCGATGCGGCCGTCGGGTGCCAAAGAAGTCCTCTGTGAGACAGGCCCGGCGCTCGGCCGTGCCTGGGAGAAGTCCTCCCGCCCGAAGGACTGAAGCGAGCTGCCGGGCGACGTGGTCGCGCGGCGTGAGCGCCTG